AGACCATGTGCTTAATTCTTACGATAATTACTTTATTAATTCAACTTAATGTATTCTTTATTGATTTTCGGATAATGTACGTCAAAAAATGATTTTGTAAAATGATTATTTGCTTAAATTTATTACAAATCAATAATGAAGAACAATTGAACTTTGTCTCTGTATATCTAAGATGAGATATTATTTAAAAAAAAGATAGGTAATAAAACTGTATCTTGTCGTCATAAAAGCGCTTTTACCTTTGGCCATTTTAACAGCCACCGTATTTGCTGCATCTTCCGGCTCTTTTCCGGCCATTTCCGCCTTGACCACCTGACCAAACGCCCCTTCTCCGACCACGTCCAGCAAAGTGACCTTTTCCCGGGGCGTCTCCCACTTCGCGTCGTCTGCCACGTTGGTATAAGCTAACTGAAATATTAGTACCTTCTGTAGGTTATTCTAAAATGATATAAAAAACACAAGATCTGTCCTAAAACTGTGTAATTTCTATGCGCCTGTTTTGTTTTGTTTTTGTTTTTTTTTTTTTTTTTCATATGCGAACCTTCAAAATAAAAAAAATCTTTACTTACATTTGCAGCACCGACGTCATCATAATGCATGTAACCTTCTTCTTCCACTTCGTACTGTAATATGGAGAAATGTACTTCAATACTTTCTTAGTATGCGGACGAATTATTTGAATCGCAATTGTTTGAAGACTTATACTCAATATTTTAAATATACCAGGAATAAAACATCAGGGGCGGATCCAAAGATATTTTATGACAGTCTTCCAAATTATCTTTGTTAATCCATCCTCCATTTTTTTACCGTCTTCCGACAGAAAATATAAGGTACCCGCCAATGTAAACATGAAAATCTGACTGTCTTCCGGAACACCCAGAAGACGCCCTAAATCCGCCCCTGAACATTATATTTCACTTAAATTTAAAGATATTTCTGTTCCAGATGGCACACGCAAGCTGGTAAAAGATGCAACTTCCTCCCGTGTAAAAAAAGCATTTGCAATAGACGTTGCTGACATTGGTAAAAAGTGAAAATCGAAAGTGCCATAAAACCCCAACCCCATCTACACGAAGAGGTTCCGCCAATATTCAGGAAAAATATTTACTTTCAAGTTTCTTCTGAAACCCCGCAACTTCAGTGTCACTGCCGCGATTATTAGGATGATCAGTATTACAACTGCGGCCGTTGATGCACTGGCGGCAATAATCCCGTCTGCAGCTTCATCTGAATAAATACAGTATTTTTAAAAATACACTGAACGTATCAAATACTGCTTGTATTAATCTAACTTATGAAAAAAAAATGCAATACAATAGTTTTCAGCTGATTTCGGCATTTAATGTTTCAGTTGTACTTGGCTTTATATACTCCCCGTTACAGCTTAATGAAATAAAGCATTTGATTTCTAGCATTTAATTTGCATGCCTAAATGTACGTGTAGAGAATAAAAAATAAATTGGCAGCTATTAATTACATTTTACGACTATGTTTTCACATATATATTTTGATAAATGAGAACCTTTGGGGGAAAAATAAAAAAGTAAACTATTCTGAAACTTTATTCACTTAAAATACCCCCTTACCTTGCTTACTTGCATCGGCGCGATATTGTTTAAAATTATCACTGTCGTTTAGCCCTAGCACCGGTAGAGGCGCCACCGTGAAAGACGTGCTGTGGTCGGACGTGAGGTTCATTAGTCTGTTATGGACCGTGCATGAATAGTTTCCGGCGTCTTCAAGCGTTACGTTTACAATGGTCAACGTTCCTAAAAGGGAACATGCACTAAAGCATGGGACAGGATGCAGGGGAAATGCCGTAATTGCAATTTTGCACCCATAATCAATTTAAGACAGTAAGAAAGAAAATAAAATAAAAGCAAACCGAGAGGAACTAAAGGGAAAAAAAAGACATGCAATGATGGCTTGAATAAAAGAGAGAGAGAGAGAGAGAGAGAGAGAGAGAGACTAGGAGGAGAATAGGAGGAGGAGGGGTAAAGGAGGGAAGAAAGAAAGGACGCATAGAAGAAATTTCAGAAGAAAGGATGGAGCAGAGAGAGAGAGAGAGAGAGAGAGAGAGAGAGAGAGAGAGACCTGTAAAATGGTATTACCTGTGTCAGTAATTACAGTGTGACTTGAGTTGCGTAATATCTCTACACCATCCTTCACCCAGTGGTAACGCGGCCTGGGATAGCCTGTCCCATTACAATGGAAAGTGACCTGGTCAGTCTCCTGTCCTTGGGCAGTCTCCGGCCAAGGTCCAGTTAAATTTAGGGGAGATATTGCTATAAAGTAAAATGTAATATTTTATTCCTCTTCTTTTGCTCTTGAAGTTATTATTATTATTATTATTATTATTATTATTATTATTATTATTATTATTATGAAATGACTACAGCCGATATGATATTCTTCACTAAATTAACCAGGCTAATGTCAAAGTGTACCGGTACATGTTTTATCCCTGAAATATACCTCTAGATTGAGTAAACGCCCACGTGGTCTTACCTGCTACGTTAAGCGTAATGTTCCCGACAATAGATAGGACGTTGGCGCTTCCATAGCCTGCGCCGTAACACGTGTAGACGCCAGCGTCCGTCGGACTGGCGTTAACTATCTTGGAATACGTATAGGTACAGTGGTCCTTCTCGCACGAGATGAGCCTCCCTCTCGCGACACCATACCGCCTTGAGTACTCGGTGGCGTTTTTGTAAATGTAGATGTTCACTTGGTCTTCAGTCTGTGGGAGTGGAATATTGGGTTGAATTTATGCTCTGTGGTATGAAACTACGTCGGATGTGTGTGTGTGTGTGTGTGTGTGTGTGTGTGTGTGTGTATGTGTCAGAGAGAGAGAGAGAGAGAGAGAGAGAGAGAGAGAGAGAGAGAGAGAGGTTTGAAACCACGTATAGTCGTGAGAGAGAGAAAGAGAGTAGTTTGAAATTACTTGTATTCTTAGACCTGTGTGTGAGAGAGAGAGGGAGAGAGAGAGAGAGACAGACGCAGCGTAAGTGGGGAAGGGATGGAAAAGGTGTGAAGGGGGGGGGGAGGACAGGGTAGGAGGGGAAAGGTACAAAATAAACCTGTCAAGTTACATGCATACAACATTTAAATTAGATAATTAAAATCTTAACTTTGGATACAATACAATCTTAATTCTAATTCTACCTTAAGCCCGTAAAACACCGAGCTTACGTCCGCTTGGTGAACAAATTAAGCCCCCCATCTGAAAACTATGCAAGAAAAGAAATACCTGCCACATTTAAAGACCAGTAACAGTGATGTATGAATAAATTGAGGACTGTCAAATATTGTCAAAACCCAAACAGAGAGAGAGAGAGAGAGAGCGTTCGCACACCCAGAGAACAGGGGCGTAATGTAATATCCAACAATAAACATTGGACATAATAACGAATAAACCAAACACTCACGATCGTGCTATTCTGCCAAACCTCACAGTACATCGGGACGGATTCTCCCAATATCGCATCATAAGTTTGGTTTGTTAAATCTTCACCATGGATACTGAACCTGTTAGTGAGCTGATAACAATTTTCCTTGGACATCGAAGTACAAGTTCCGTGAACTGCTGAAAGTAAGCAAAGTGAAAGCACAACTTAACAAAGAATGTCATCTTTTGTGCAAGGGACTGTATAAAAAAGTTAAACGATTTTTTTGAAAGAACATTTTAATGCTGATTTGTACAAATATGTCATGTTGTGATATTCCCCTATTTAATATACTTATTTATTGTATGCATTTATATACTACTCTGCGTAGATTAATGAGCCTGCAAATGTCAATTCATGTACACATTTAGTGCTCAATAAACATTATTATTGTTATTGTTTCTTAAAGATGATGAAACCTTATACAAGACACCGTCTTCAAAAAGTAGTCTACAGGAGTTTGTGAAACCTATCACAGCAAACACACAGACAAAAAAAAAAAAACGCCGATGGAAACCAAATGTTGCCTCCTTCGTAGGCGGATGTTCTGTTAAGGAAAAAATCAAATGCATCGGTTGACACGCGCAAATGTGTAAGTAATACTTATTGTCGTTTGTGTAGTAGAAGCGGATGTGAAAGAATACTGACTGTATATATGTGGGCTCTTCGTGACACTCTGATCGGAAAACAAGATAAAAGAAGAACTTAACACGCAGGACGTGGTGGTGATGACGCATGGGGGCGGAGGGGGTTGNGAAAAAAATGCAATACAATAGTTTTCAGCTGATTTCGGCATTTAATGTTTCAGTTGTACTTGGCTTTTCATACTCCCCGTTACAGCTTAATGAAATAAAGCATTTGATTTCTAGCATTTAATTTGCATGCCTAAATGTACATGTAGAGAATAAAAAATAAATTGGCAGCTATTAATTACATTTTACGACTATGTTTTCACATATATATTTTGATAAATGAGAACCTTTGGGGGAAAAATAAAAAAGTAAACTATTCTGAAACTTTATTCACTTAAAATACCCCCTTACCTTGCTTACTTGCATCGGCGCGATATTGTTTAAAATTATCACTGTCGTTTAGCCCTAGCACCGGTAGAGGCGCCACCGTAAAAGACGTGCTGTGGTCGGACGTGAGGTTCATTAGTCTGTTATGGACCGTGCATGAATAGTTTCCGGCGTCTTCAAGCGTTACGTTTACAATGGTCAACGTTCCTAAAAGGGAACATGCACTAAAGCATGGGACAGGATGCAGGGGAAATGCCGTAATTGCAATTTTGCACCCATAATCAATTTAAGACAGTAAGAAAGAAAATAAAATAAAAGCAAACCGAGAGGAACTAAAGGGAAAAAAAAGACATGCAATGATGGCTTGAATAAAAGAGAGAGAGAGAGAGAGAGAGAGAGAGAGAGACTAGGAGGAGAATAGGAGGAGGAGGGGTAAAAGAGGGAAGAAAGAAAGGACGCATAGAAGAAATTTCAGAAGAAAGGATGGAGCAGAGAGAGAGAGAGAGAGAGAGAGAGAGAGAGAGAGAGACCTGTAAAATGGTATTACCTGTGTCAGTAATTACAGTGTGACTTGAGTTGCGTAATATCTCTACACCACCCTTCACCCAGTGGTAACGCGGCCTGGGATAGCCTGTCCCATTACAATGGAAAGTGACCTGGTCAGTCTCCTGTCCTTGGGCAGTCTCCGGCCAAGGTCCAGTTAAATTTAGGGGAGATATTGCTATAAAGTAAAATGTAATATTTTATTAGGATTCCCCACAGGGGAATACTATTGTTTTTGGTAGTATTATTATTCTTTCCGCGTGTTTTTTTTCGCAAAAAATCTGAAATAATTGTCATAGGTAGCCTATGGCAAGAATATGCCACAGAACCAGTTTCAGTGCCCTTGACCTACTTTTCAAGGTCACAGGGGCTTTTAAAGGCAAAATTTGTAAAATTTGAAATTGCCATTAGGCCTAAAGTATAAGCCATATGGCTAAGGGCCTTATGGCCGGTGATACTGAGGTGAACCCACAGATAATGACCTACTTTTATGCAATTAGGTCAAGGTCAAGGTTGCTAATGGCCAAACGGGCTCAAAAAAGGTTTGTTTCCGAGATCTCAAAAACCGGAAGGCCCAGAGCCCCGATCATAGTGGCAAATGATGCCCTATATATTTATCTAAGGTTAGCCGTACTTGGGTGGCGACTGCCTAATTACTTTTTTAAATATAGATTTTTAAATATTTATGACATTGCAGAAATCGTGAGTTTGGCAATTTCTCCATGAAACACTGGTTTTTGGTCATAGCATGCTATAGTAAACTACCTCAAACATATACCCAAAACCCCCAAATCAAATGTCAAATTTGACCTTGACCCTCATTTTCAAGGTCATTTGGCTATTTCATGGAGAAATATTGAAGTGGGCTAAAAGTGATGTTTTGTTGACCCCCCCCCCCAAATTTGCACATGCTGTTTCAGAATATGGGGTCAAATTTAACCTGTGACCTTCACATGACCTTGTAAGAGCTTTTCCACACCTTTTTTGCAGGGGAATCCTCCGCCACTGGCTTAAGCCAGTTGCAGTCTAGTTCATCTTCTTTTGCTCTTGAAGTTATTATTATTATTATTATTATTATTATTATTATTATTATTATTATTATTATTAAATGACTACAGCCGATATGATATTCTTCACTATATTAAGCAGGCTATTGTCAAAGTGTACCGGTACATGTTTTATCCCTGAAATATACCGCTAGATTGAGTAAACGCCTAAGTAGTCTTACCTGCTACGTTAAGCGTAATGTTCCCGACAATAGATAGGACGTTGGCGCTTCCATAGCCTGCGCCGTAACACGTGTAGACGCCAGCGTCCGTCGGACTGGCGTTAACTATCTTGGAATACGTATAGGTACAGTGGTCCTTCTCGCATGAGATGAGCCTCCCTCTCGCGACCCCATACCGCCTTGAGTACTCGGTGGCGTTTTTGTAAATGTAGATGTTCACTTGGTCTTCAGTCTGTGGGAGTGGAATATTGGGTTGAATTTATGCTCTGTGGTTTGAAACTACGTCGGGTGTGTGTGTGTGTGTGTGTGTGTGTGTGTGTGTATGTGTCAGAGAGAGAGAGAGAGAGAGAGAGGTTTGAAACCACGTATAGTCGTGAGAGAGAGAAAGAGAGTGGTTTGAAATTACTTGTATTCTTAGACCTGTGTGTGTGTGAGAGAGAGATGGAGAGAGAGAGAGAGACAGACGCAGCGTAAGTGGGGAAGGGACGGAAAAAGTGTGAAGGGGGGGGGGAGAACAGGGTAGGAGGGGAAAGATACAAAATAAACCTGTCAAGTTACATGCATACAACATTTAAATTAGATAATTAAAATCTTAACTTTGGATACAATACAATCTTAATTCTAAGTCTACCTTAAGCCCGTAAAACACCGAGAACAAATTAAGCCCCCCTCTGAAAACTATGCAAGAAAAGAAATGCCTGCCATATTTAAAGACCAGTAACAGTGATGTATGAATAAAATGAGGACTGTCAAATATTGTCAAAACCCCAACGGAGAGAGAGAGAGAGAGAGAGGGAGAGAGAGAGCGTTCGCACACCCAGAAAACAGGGGCTTAATATGTAATATCCAACAAGAAACATTGGACATAATAACGAAGAAATCAAACACTCACGATCGTGCTATTCTGCCAAACCTCACAGTACATCGGGACGGATTCTCCCAATATCGCATCATAAGTTTGGTTTGTTAAATCTTTACCATGGATACTGAATCTGTTGGTAAGCTGATAACAATTTTCCTTGGACATCGAAGTACAACTTCCGTGAACTGCTGAAATTAAGCAAAGTGAAAGCACAACTTAACAAAGAATGTCATATTTTATGCAAGGGACTGTATAAAAAAGTCTTAATGCCGATTTGCACAAATATGTCATGTTGTGATATTCCCCTATTTAATATACTTATTTATTGTATGCATTTATATACTACTCTGCGTAGATTAATGAGCCTGCAAATGTCAATTCATGTACACATTTAGTGCTCAATAAACATTATTATTGTTATTGTTATTGTTATAGTTTCTTAAAGATGATGAAACCTTATACAAGACACCGTCTTCAAAAAGTAGTCTACAGGAGTTTGTGAAACCTATCACAGCAAACACACAGACAAAAAAAAAAAAAAAACCGATGGAAACCAAATGTTGCCTCCTTCGTAGGCGGATGTTCTGTTAAGGAAAAAATCAAATGCATCGGTTGACACGCGCAAATGTGTAAGTAATACTTATTGTCGTTTGTGTAGTAGAAGCGGATGTGAAAGAATACTGACTGTATATATGTGGGCTCTTCGTGACACTCTGATCGGAAAACAAGATAAAAGATGAAACTTAACACGCAGGACGTGGTGGTGATGACGCATGGGGGCAGAGGGGGTGGAAATCAAACTAAATCACTGTATCCCACTACCCCCTCCAATGCCCTTCGACCACCACCCATCTCCTTCTTAACCAAACTGATGCATCCAGACTTTATTTTTTGTCCTAAGTCGGAGATTAAGAAAAACAAAGCAAACCTAATCTGCCACCCAACGTTGTATGCAGGACAGTACAAGCATTTGTTTGCGTTAGACAGTTTTTTTGTAAAAACTGATGAAGAGAAGAGACCACACACTGACCTCTAGGCAAGAGGGGTGCTGGA